AAAAAAAAACTATTTGAAAATTTTAAATTGTTCCCATATACATCTTTAAGTTTAGATGGGCATCTACGTACATAGACACTTACAAATGACCTGATTGGGTGAAAAGCAGCTATTTTTGGCTCAAATTGAGACACTATTTGGTACCCCTCTACATGTAACTCCGGGCTCCGAGCTAGGTGCTAGTAACTCGTATGGTATCACCCCTGCCCCGCACCGATTCTTCAAGCTAGGATCACTGTTCCTTTTCTCAATCTCTTTCTCTATCTGTCTGATCTCTGCCGAGAACCCATAGAATGCCTCGATTATTTCAGCATCGCCGGACCAAATTGACGGATGCTGCCGCTCCCCTAGGTACTCCTCGTCGGGTGAATGTGTCGACAATGTGTCCACCACAGCCATGAACTTTGATGCTTGCAATAAACTTGGCAACGCGGCGAGGAAATATTTTTGTGGATCCGCTACAAAATTGGGGTATTCTACGTCGTTCTCGTCCGGAATTAATCTCCGCATCAGGGGTGGCCTGTTGGGCACGTAACCTCCATAAGGGTACTGCCCGAAGTTGAGGGCAGCATGTTGTGCCGAGGCAAGCCAAATGATGGTGGTGAGGATGGAGACTAGATCCTCTGGGGTGTTTAACTTGGGCCACCAATCCTTGTGTCGAATATCGGCATGGCCAACATTGATGGACTCAGCGTACCAGGATTGCAGCTCTGTGTCACCGCGAATAAGGCTTGACTCAGGGTAGTAATGATCCACGTAGGTTCGGACCCAGTTCTCTATGGCTGACCAGATCATGAGCCCATCCGCTGCATATGGGTAGTCTTCAAGTATGAGCTTCAGCCCGTGTGGTTGTGTTGGGTCACGAACTGCCATGCCCCTGCATTATTAAATGACATCTCATGTTAGATTCATCATTGTTTTTGCAGAAATACCCCTATGTTAATTAATGTAATAAACAGTGTAAGATACTAAGATTTATTTTTTTCTACAGTCCTCAACCTTAGGGTGAGCTATTTAAAGTAGTCCTTAACCTTTAAAGTTAAGCAATGGCATACATACCTACGGATGAGGTCGGCAGGGAGGCCCTCCATGTCAAACCGCCAATCCCGGTAAGCAGCGGCGCTCATCTCCATGACATACCGGCCGGGAGTGAAACAATTCTCTATGACACCATCTACAGAGATCAAAGCTTGGCGAGCCAAGGCATTGATCTCCAAGGTGTACCGCATGTGAGGATCCAGAAGCTTGAATATCGGGTGCATGGCACTCAGTTGCCGATGAGCTGCCAGAATAAATGGCTCCACGGATGCATGTGTACGTAGAAAATGGTTAACAAGCTGGTGGACTCCAGCATCATTTGAGCAAACATGGGCCTTAGCAAGCTGCCAGATCCAGTTACTGGTGGCATCCACAGGAGGCGTAACCACGCGCTTCGACGGTCGAGGCCCTGCTGGAGGGAGGCTCAGCTCTATTGCCACCGGCTTAAGAGTCCCACCCTTCGTCAAGAAAAATACGGTACGGGTGGCATACGCTTTCCGGCCGTCAAGAGCATTGATCCGGTCAAGAAACGGTAGGTAAACGTCGTGGTAATCTATTATGTACAACTTGTTCTCGTCCAAGGCCTACACAAAAATTAAAGGTAATTATCATAAACACCAAGGGTTAAAAATGAAAAATCAAAAGTAATTTTCTTCAGAATTGTATTTTTTCTTTTTCTTTTCAAATTTACCTGTTGTACTGACATTCCGTCGAGGTAGGGGAGGATGTGTTCTTCCTTGAGGGCCGAATCTGGTGGGCCGTAAATTTGGGGGTCCAGTTTGCTAACCGGAGGAAAGGCAGTGAGCCTTTCGATGTTTACCGGATTAATTCCGGCGAGAGTTTGGCGGGCAAATTCGTCATCTCGGAGCCAGGCAAATTTGTCCTCTACATGGATTAATTAGCAAAAAGAAACTTTAGCTTTTGATTAAAAATAAATAAATAATACATAAATCATACCCACGTGTGAAATGTGGGCAAAGTAATACAATTTGCTATTGTTATTAAAAAAGGGTTTTGTTTCCACTTTCTGTTGCGCACATGTAGTTTGTACCATTTTGACAACCCATGTTGGAATCTTTCATCATTAAAAGTGATGCTTATAAACCACAGATTACATAACCAAAAAAAAAAAAAAAAATCACTAAATTATAAAATTTTTCTTAATGTTTTTATATGAAATAACTTCGTACAAATAAAAAATATTAATTTTCATTTATCTCATGAATTAATATGTATTTATTAATTTCGTGTTAAGTTATATCATACCAAATAGAGAAAAACATTGTAGTGGTAATTAATTTCATGATTTATATAGTTAGTTAATTAAGGGTAAAATCCAGTTAATAAGAAATTGGGTTGTTTTTAGGATGGGTAGGTGGTTGACACAGAATGGGGAAAAGGTGGGTAGTTGGGCAAAGGAAAGAGTAAGACTTACTGGAAACAATTGTGGGGGTTTCGTATTTGAGAAGTCCTTCGCTGGACTCGATCAAAGTAAGTTTTTTGAGGATTTCATCTTGCAATCCTAATTTGAGCAGAATCCCTTCCTTGTAGAGGCTATCGATGTCGGTGAAGGTTTTGAAGTCGCGGTTGTACGGGGAGATGGTGGCTTTGAGTAGTGGGATTAAGTTGTGGAGCACCGCCCTCAGTCGCCCGGTGGAGAATGTGTTCATCTTGCATTCCTCGAACTGTTCGTCTCTAGGCACGTAAATCGGCAATGGCTTCTCCACGCGGCTCTCCGCTCTCATATCTGCAATGTACACAGTGTTCGATGAAATTCCGATATGGACCAAAAAGGTTGAACAAAGTCAGGAAAATCGTTGTCTGTTTATGGCCACTGGTTTTGCTCAGTAACTTTTCCATGAAAGGACAACCACTAGTGAAAAAGTTCACTTTTTAAGTTGCTGGGCATTTACTTAAAAGGTGAGGCTTGTTTATCACATGGGGTTTTAACTTTTAAAGCAAGAGGAAGATTGATGATGATGGTTGCTCACCGGTATCGGAAGGGAGACGGCCGGTGCGGCACCGACGTGGGAATGGGATTTTTTCACCGCCGAGTATCGGCCGGGCAAAGTCGATTCCCTTGTCTGGATTTCCCAGGTCATTGTACAAATCAAAATCGTAAATTCTGTCTGATAATTTCCTCACTCCTTTGCCATCACCTCTGAGATTCTTCAGCTCTTTCTCTCTCAATGCCCTGAGTCCTGACGGGGTCTTGTTAGGTAGATAAGGCTGCTCCAGAAAAAGGGCAAAAAAATAAAAATAAAAATAAAAACAAAGGGAAGATGAGATCGTCTTTTCTTTGTGTTCTAATTTTCTTTGTTTCAATGGTTTGAACATATGGTTTTTGACCTTTTAAAACTGAGCAGAAAACAAATTAAAGAAACCAAACTTTCTTTTGAAAAGTCAAAGACAAAAAGGTCATTACCTGGTTGGTGAAGAAAATCCTTTTTCCAGGATGATCTTTGGCAGATTGAACCGACGAGTTGCACGGGAAGTGTACATTACCACAAGCAAATCCTTCAACGGTGATGCTCTCCAAGAAAAACTCCCTCTGATGCTTGTTGGTCACCAAGATTGCCCCAGGAACCCCAAAATCTGAATCGACTATGAATTCGGCGGTGTAATGAACCCTCTCTGCTTTGACATTCGCTTTCTTTGACCAATCCTTCAACGCAGCTTCCTTGGTCTTCTTTGGAGCCTTGGTTTCTTCAATACCCAAACAGAAAAAAGTACCAAATCAGTATAAGAAAATTGAAAGAAAGACATAATCATTGAAAGAAAATTAGCCAGAAGAACAGATCGAACAGAGACTTACTGGGATCAACCTCAGTACTAACAAGCGCCAAAACCACATTCCAACCAATCTTCTCCGTCAAAGCATCGAATTGGTTCATAAGAGTCTCTTTAAAATCCACCTTGTTCTTGTTCCTCACAGTCACCGACGCTCTAACCTTAAACTCCACCGCCTTCTGCTTCTCCTTCTCAACCGGCGTGGCTCCGGTACTTCTCACCAAATCTTCACTAATAGCCGCAACAGTCCTTACCACTTTCCTCGGAACCACCTTCTTCTGTTTCATGGGATTAACGAGGAACGAGGAATTCCTTCGTCTCAAAGAAGTATGATTCAATAACACTCTGCTGGATGGAGATACAAAGGATGATCTTTCCATCGCAGAACAACCCACGATCTCTTTAACCAGTGCCATGTTCTTGTTCCCTCTATAACTACGTTGGGTACAGAATTAGCAGCCAATTGGTTGCAGTCTTGCAGAGATCAAAAAGAAGGGTATTGTAAGAGTGGCTTTCTGCTCCCTTCTAGTTTATGGGAGGAGTTGGGGAGACCCAGAATAGTTATATATAAGCTGTAAGGATGTATGAGAACGTAGCACCGTCCGTCCACACGTTTTGCAAGATTTACAAATTTTTTCCTTGTGCTTTATAGGATTTGTGAAATCCTGGTTATATTTGGACTGGGGAGAGGAAATCAAAGAGCAGAACTGGCTGCCAGTTGGTCAAAACGAGTTGAGCTGAAAACCCAGTAAAAGACGCGGTCCGAGGGAAGGAAAGCCATGGGAAAGGGAGTAGACATCGCAAGAAAGGACGATCATGCCCTTCTCTTGTCAGAAAATGACAATCATGTCCTATCTAAATGGAAAAAGTATTTATAAACATTTATTTGTCTATTTTTTAAGTACCCTATTTTGTCCTGTCACTGTACCATTTTACTATTATTCAACAGTATCAGTACTTATATGAAAAAAGGCAGAGTATTTTTTTTTATATATTTTTAATACCACGATAAATGCTCATGTTAGTTAAGGGTAAAATTAAAATAATAAAATAATAAAATAATAAAAAGTAGATAACTAATTATAACATATGTATACTTAGATTTCATAATGTAATGATTATATATTTGTTGTAAAGTATATCCCTCATTTTTAGAATTGAATTTTTCACCTCTGAAATTGTAATTGGTTTAAAAAAAAATTAGGTGGTGTTATAGGAATAATTTTTTTATTTTATTTTTTTATATAATTTTTACATGTTAGTAAATGAATAGATACATTTAATATCACGAGTTTTACATAAATTAAAAAAATTAATTTTTTAATGATACATTAAATTGTAAAAAAAATAAAA